ATTTGACATTTATTTTATGATATGATATTATAGGAAAATGCATTTATTTTCTTTCCTTATTTTTATGTGGTTTTGACCACTTATTCTTAGTATTTATAATCGATCGATCACGTTAATTTAAGGCTTCGTTTATAACTTGTGGCTCTCATCCTTATAGAAATTACCGAATTCCGTTTTCAAAATGAGGCTAGGAAAAAGGTTACTTTTAATACCTTAAATGTTACGGCAGAAATTCCATTGGTTAAATGTCCAGTCAAGGCTTAGATAAAATTACAGTGGCGGTAATTGTTATTTTTTTTTAACAAACATGTACGTACGTAATTAATTAATCCTTAGACGCAGTGGCTTTTGGTAAATTTGTCCCGCTTCTAAATTTGGAAAAATGTTATATTACAAATAGGGATGTAAAAAGCCCGGTCCGATTCCAGAAGTCTTAATTGTTAGTACGTACGTACCCTAGCCATGGCGAAAAAAAGTACTTTTTTAGAAATGTATCTAGATTTTATACCGATATACGTAGGTTTCTTGATATGGTTATCGATACTATGTATTAATTACTATATTTGGATAATGGACTAGAAAAACCAGTCTTCGACAGATAGTTTAAAAAAATGCGATAATTTTATTTCGCATGCTTGAATTCGATTCGCCAAGTTAAATTGACAATCTTCTGAATGGTTGTTATTCAATTTTTAGAGCGCTATGTCTTCGAAGAATTGATTTTCCAAATCGTGCTTCATATAAACAAGAGCCAATATTTTAATTTGAATTGAAAATCCTAAAACTGTAAAATTGATCAAAAAAAAGTGCTAAAGGCTGGTTTTCCGCATAGGAATTTTGGTGATATTTACGAATAAGATCTGCCAATCAGATAAATAAAAATGTGATTATTTCGAATTTGTATTACATTAACCTTCACGTTGATTGGTTGATTTATTTAGCACGATTTTACAAAGCCCCAGGCTTTATCTTTTAATCTTGCGGCTTGAAATTCTCATATCTACGGGTATATCAAAAGTCTTTGTACACGGTCTCTTTTTTTAAGTAACTCTGTTAAGTGATCCATACAGTGATCATGACGATTATATAATAATTATTAATTAAATAATTTAGTGATATTTAAGTAAATTTTAATTACAATAACTACAACTAATAATTTTTTTTTTTTTTTTTTTTTGTTATTAAGGCCGATGTTACGGAGCTTACTGCCTTTATTTGTGTTTTTAGTTAATGC